TTTCTATGATGTTGCCCCAGACCGACAAGTCAGGCTCGTGTCCATGCATCTTGAGGGTCTCTCCCTGCAGTGGTACCGTTGGCTGCTTAAACGACGGGGACCTGTAACTTGGGAGGAATTTTTCAAGGCTCTTCGCACTCGGTTTGGACCCACATAGTTTTCTGACTCTTCGGAAGCTCTTTCCCGACTAAAACAGTCCATCACAGTTAGTGCCTATCAAGAGACGTTCGAACAATTGTCTCATCAGGTTGATGATCTGCCCGAGTACTTTCTGATTGGTTCATTTTTATGGGGGTTGAGGGAGGAGATTCGATTGGAGGTCAAGACTCAAAAGCCCAGAACTCTGGAGGAAGCTTTTGAACTGGCACTTCTGGTGGAAGAAAAATCACAACTGGCCACGCAAGGATCCTTATCTCCACGGTCAGCACTACCGAAACAGTCAACCACCGCGGGAATTCTCGGTCCGGCGCCAGTTGTCCGTACAGAGCCAGTGCAACCTTGCACTCCGATCAAAAGACTGCCATGGGAGGAGATGCAACGCAGGCATTCCTTGGGCCTTTGCTTCTCTTGCAACGAACAATTTGCCCTGGGCCACTGTTGCAAACACCAACAACTCATGCTTCTCGAGATGGGGGAAAGTCCGGTAGATTATTCTGAAAAAGCTGCAGATAATCGTGATACAGGGGGAGGATAGGGACTGGTTCCCGCAACAATTCACAAGCATTGACCTTGAGGACAAGGTCTCACTTGGAGGGGAAGGTATTGATGAACCGATGAGTGCACACATGGACTTCCAGATAGGCTAGATCAGAGCTCCTATTTTAATTTTAATCTACTGCATATTAGTTTTATATTAAATTGTAGCAGTTATTTTAATATGTCTCCTAATTTGTAGGAGTAGTTACGGTAGTGCCAATATGGACTAGGAGCAATTATTTTCCATCTTGTATTTATGTTTGCATCGGTGAATTAAAAGGGGGACTTTGGACGCTCAACTTCTTCTTCTTCATTGTTTTCTCTTCTTCTCTTGAAACATTCTGCTTCTTATAGTTCCTTCTTATAGTTACCCAGACCTGGGTCCTATCAAAATAATGACCGGTTGAACATTATCATTTTGGCCTCCATTTTCAAATTGACAATGTTTATCGATTTGAACAATCTTATATGGGAAAATCAGAAAGGCAACGAGTTTATTGTGGATGTTAATATGTGGTTGTGTTTATCTCATTGGACTTGAATGATTTTGTGGATTACAGTGTTACTATGGTGAAAAGCCAGCGATGTTAGATCGAGGGTGGGATATGGCGGAAGGGTAATGTAGAAATTTGAATTAATTTTTATTTATTTATATTTTTATTTAATGGCTGTGAATAAAACTTCCCATAGGTGTAATATCCGGTCCAACCCAAAATTAATCCCAGCCCACCTCAAAATTAATTCCAGCCAAGCCCAAACCCATTACCAATTATTCCACTCAACCAAACTTGCGGCCTCCTTGTGCAATTGGCCGAAGCAGCGGAACTACGAAAAGTGCGAAGCATGAGGTCGAAGAGGGAGTAGCAGAGCTGCGACGGAGATACCGGACACTAGCCGACGTAGGCCACCAGATTTTCCGCCGTCCGACGTCCACTCGTTCAAGGTCCTGCGTCGGCCTTCTTCCCTCTCCGACTTTCCGAGTCTGATTTTGCCCTCTGCGGACTGCGGCTCTGCCTCCAGCTCCAAGTATGCACAAATTCTAATACTCTTTTACACTTCGTTTTTTCTTGATTTAATCATTGTGTCATTGGTTAAACATTCTATTATTTTGAGAAACATTATCAATCATTTGAATATTTGATTAACACCGAGGGCCATTGTGTAATTGTGTTTTATTGTTTAAACATTGTATTATTTTGTGACTTTGTGTTACGTGTATTATTTTTTTAGTTTTGTAAATCTATTGGGTTATTAATTGAATTTTTCAGCTCATAATAAAATAGTATTTATCCATTATAAATTTGTAATGATTAAAAATAGAATTAAAGATGAGAAAAAGATTTATTTATTACACAATTGAGGATGAAATAGTGTTTATCCATTATAAATTTATAATGATTAAAGGTAGAATTAAAGATTAGATAATGATTTATTTATTGTGTGGATATGTAAGGAAGAATTCAAAATTTCAATTGAATTTTGAAATACTAGAATCTTTAATAATTGTTAATTAATTTATAAATCACACTAAAACGTTTAAATTTTCAGTTATATAATTTATTCCTATAATTTATAAGTTATCGATAGACTCAAGCCTGAATTGGACCGAACATTACTAAGCTCGAACTCGTCTTGAGTAACTATTCGAACTCAAAATCTAGCCCGTTTTCGAGTTCGAAGCTTGTTAAGCTCATGTCATTAAATTACATTCGAAATTACGCTCGAACTCTAGTAGTTCGAAAAAAGCTGAGTTCGATAACAACCCTAAACTAAATCTTTGTGTGCAGTAACATTTTTTTTACTGCTTAGCCCACCCCACCCTTCGTTCCTGGATCCGCCCCTGATTGTTACCAGAAATCTTTGTTGGTTGCAGATAGCTTTGCTGCATTACAGATTTTGAGTTAATCATCAATATAGGCACTACAAATATGGGAACTCGAAAGTTGATGTGGAGTACAACTAATTACCTTTTTACTGGGAGCCTCATTGGCATCACTCTATCAGATCGTTATGCCAGTGTAGTATCTGTTAAAGGCATTTCTATGTCTCCAACGTTTAATCCTCATGGAGATGGCCCATTGACTAGTAATATACATTCATACTGTACTTTTTTGTCCTCTGCGTATCCCATGTTGTGGATTGTTATTCACCATCTTTCACCTCATCTTCTAGGGGACCGTGTTTTATTGGAGAAGTTTTGCCTTGAAAAGTACAAGTTTTCTCAAGGTGATGTCGTGGTCTTTAGGTAATTGATCATTACTCAAATTTCACTGCATACATGTATCCAGATGTATCTTGTCTGTTCACTTGTGTAGCTACATGATCTCTTGTACTAATCATGCTCATTTCGCCAGAGCTTGAATGAATGAACTGAGGATCGAACTTTTTAAGTTGTTAAAGTTCGGGCTCAGAAAAAAGTCAATGCAAAAAAGTTTTTTACAATTGGTCTTACATATATGATATACCCATTACCTTGCTGAGCTTCAACATCAGTTCTTTGACCAATTTAATTGTTGTGCACTAGTCTAGAAGTGAAATTAGTTTCTTATGATATGAAAATAGTCGTTTTTTTCCCATGACTGTTGGATCATTTTCACTTTTGGTCTCTGATTTCAAAGTTTTAACGCACTAACTATGCATTTCTTGCCACTTCAGTCATGGTCTTTTCAGGCAAAAATCAATTGGAAATATATGAGAATTAACCAGGCAAGAGGTTGGAAGGACCAAAAGTGAGGGAAAGGGATGATAGGGACACGATGTGAAAATGACACAACAGTCGAGGGTCAAAAAATGGAATATTATCTTTTTTATATGTAATGCATGGCTGATTGGTTGTTGCAGAAAATTTAGTATGTAGCTTTTAACTTTACACTTCTTTGAATGAAGAAATTATATTAATGAGGTTTTCCTCTTATTTTTAAAGATCTCCTTCTGATCATAAAGAAAAACACATAAAGAGGATAATAGGGCTACCTGGTGACTGGATCAGTACACAACAGGATGATTATAATGATGCAGTGAGGATACCAGATGGGCATTGCTGGGTCGAAGGTGACAATGCAGCTTGGAGCTGTGACTCAAGATCTTATGGCCCTGTAAGTAGGTAGCTACATTGCTAGTCTGTGTCTGCTTATGTCCTAACCAATGACTCATGCATAGCATGTGGATTTAGTTTTTTTTTTTTGGATCAGTCATTTTTGTTGAATAAATGCAACATTTACAGGTCCCATTGGGTTTGATTTGTGGAAGGGTCACACACGTTATCTGGCCACCTCAAAGATTTGGTAGTATACAAAGGGAACTCCCTCAAAGCATTTCACCATGATTGTTTTTTTTTCTTTTTATTACTACTATTATTGATATTGTCATTCTATACAGTTGTTGATTGAATATACTCAATTACTCAAATTGATATTGTTGTTTTTTTGCCATACCAAGAGATACTCGAATTTTGTAATCTGCATGATAATGTGGTTTTTTTTTCGTATGATTATAACAAGGACTATTTGGGTGTACATACATCTTTAAACTTGAATGATTAAGTTTATGTCATATAGTTGACTAAATTGAATGCATAGCTTCTTAACTCGATGGGTCTAAGCGAAAGAGTGGTTAGAAAGGATACGATACAATCCACTATAAAAAGAAAAATAGAACTACTCATCAGTTCCATTTATTTAGGTTATATACTTTTTAACCGTTACAAATTTTACTGCTAAATAATCAACATACAAGTATTCTTTTCTTTTTACCCAATCTCAAAATTATTGTTCATTACTTTTTAAGAATAGCAACACGCGGTTCACACTTCACAATGCTTATGTCTTTTGCTACATACATGAATTTCATTAAGGACACCAATAGTTATGGATTTGAGGGAGTAATAATAACATTGCTCCGTTATGGATTTAGCAATATAGATATATTATAAAATGTATTTTTAGGCTGAAGTTGATATATTTGAATACTAAGAACTTTAAACGACATCTGTCTATTTGTTGTTGAAATCGTCTGTCTTTTTTAAAAGGGGTGGTAATATTCTTCGCGCCAGCTTGAGTGGCCATATACTTTTCTCTAGTCAAGCTTCCAGCAAGAAGAGGAATGATTCGAATTTGACAACCCAAGTCAATGCTCATTACTACGTACTATTCAATTTCCACAATCCAACTAACTTGTGATTTATTCTTTGATCTTCAACATAGCCCTACCCGTAAGCTGAGACTATTACAAATATACAAAATCCGCATAAGGGCTACAAATTTTTTGGACTGATAAATTATCTCTCTTTTCCTTTTCTTGCCCCCCAAATATGAATGCAGTGGAGTAATTTTGATAGTGAGGTTTTTTTCTTTTCTTTTATACACCTGAACTGCAAAATTGTGACCAGGGTTTCTCCTTTTGTATATATTTAAAATATGGAAGAATATAGTACACTAATCATCAGAAGTGGTAACCCCAGAGAGCCTCGGCACCTTCCCCACACTTGTCATGAACATGCTTTATTCTATCCACTGATTTGCATATTCCACTGCAAGGCCAATCGAAAGATGCAACACATGCATTCCCTGCTTGAAGTTTCCATTCACATTCTGCAATATACAAAACTTTTGTGTTTTTCAAAGTTCCCTCACTTGTGTGGCTTGACTAAAGGAAAAGGTAATGTTGTATTGGAGGAAGAGAAGATGAACAATTGATAAAACCTGGCGGGGTTCCACAACACAAATTACGATCATCGATGTGCTCAACATCAAGACCAATCAGCCATGCGCCAAGTGATACATCTTCATTGGCATACTTATGTAAAATTTGCCTGAAATTGGTCACTACATTATATATGTATGCCATAAACTACAGATAGAATTTGAAAGGGTTAACAACTCTAGTTCATCTTTTACAGGAAGCAAAAAATAGTCATTATTACCCATTGTCAGTTATGAACTTCGCCAAATCTTTTGAGATAGCATATATCTGTCCAGTTGCATGTCTGAAGTACTTATTTCCCATATCTCCAAATCTCCAATACTCAGGTTCATGGTACTTCACATTCCTTGCACCACAAACGTAAACACCAACGACAAGAGTTATATGACAATCATAAAGCTCAAAAGAGAATCCACCACTCATATTAAAAAGATAAAAAGAGAAAAAGAAACTTGAAGCGTATAGTTAGACTAACATACTTGCTGTAAAGAACTGGTCCAGATTTCATACAGCCAATATATACTCTGGGTTTCAGGCGGTGCCGGGAAAGAGTTGCAGCAAGTGCACCTTCATATGAGAATTAGTATATAAATAAGTCCATTATAGAATACCATAAAAAACTGCAGCCGAATTATTGTTAGCCATGCCACATTGGTGTAACATTAAAAAAGTAAAGAATTAATACCTGACTTAGACCCTCGACTGTACACTATTTTTTAACGTGGTCCTCAAGTACGCATTTTAACTCAAGTTACTTCGCACATACATTCTAATCCAGAGGGGGGCTAAATTGTGTCCAAATGATATAGTTGAGGACTAAATTGATTCTGGCAACTAGATCTAGGTTTATTATGAAAAAAATATCCTTCTTTTTAGAACCAAACATTGTGAAAATGTCATGGTTAAGGACTAAGTTGAGGATCAAGTATATAGTCGAGAGATTACATTATGCATTAACTTTAAAGAAAGAGAAAAAAGAAACTACCCAAGTTGACATGAACGTCATCATCAATCTTGACATAGAAGTCAGCATCCCATCTTGCAAAGGCAGTGGAAATGAAAGACTTCGTCTTTGCAGTCAACTCATGATATCCTTCTATGTGCTCCTAAACAGTGCCATATGAGAAACAAATGCAAGGTGACTAGAATAAAACAATATGATAGGTCTTGTTTGGTTTTCAGGATTTTCAGCTGCTTTTTCTTTGAACTAGAGTTTGAAGCAAACCACCGACGCCCAAATTAATGAAGCCAAATATAAAAGCATTGAAGATTACTTACAAGCCTAAGAATGTCTTTATGCTGAGCATCTTCCAGATCAACTGCTTGGTCTAATACGCTATTGGATGTTGCACTGAATCAAGAAGTAAGGCTATTAATAATAACATCATAACGGTCTAACCCACCTATTTTCACCACTTACAAAGTAGCCTTGAAGCTGAAGTTCATATAAAATAACAGATTAAATTATTACCTGTGGCCTATCATAAAGCGCACAACAATTCCCTTTTCTTCTTCCAATTTAACCAGCTTCTCACCTAGTAAGTTTTAAAAATAATAAAGAAAAACAAGGTCAGGGATAAAAAGGGCGGTGAAATAATTAGTGACATGAGATTTAGGTTCTGTTTGATTTTGGTAGTGGTAGACTCATCTGACTTATTCTGCATATCAACAGAATAAGTAGATTTGCAGAGTTGCCGACTAACTTATTTACCTGAAATGGATGTTACCAAAAGTTGTGTTTTCGAAAAACTGCATATTCTCACCCATTTCAGCAAAACGCACACATACCAAACGGGCCATAAATCACATGAAGTCATTTACAATGAGCACCTTGAGGAAGCCATGTCTGTCTAACAGAATCACGCCTCTTTCTGCTACTGAAGGCTGTGTTTATCCCAATAACCATAAAAGCTTTCTTCCTTGTCCCGATTTCCTCAGTCTTCTCCTCGTCCTCATAACTCTTGGACAATGACAGCTCATCTTGAGCTTTGGAAAATGGAATTTCGGAGCTTCTAATAAATCGTAAAACATCAACAATCGTAAACTTTGACAAAAACACACAATTTCGTAATTAAAGTGCAATGCTTAATTGAAAATTAATTAATAAACATCATATCATCAATGACATATTCAAATTTTCTGAAACAAGGGAACAGAAACTACTGATGATACACATTCATTAGTCATGAATGGTGGTGATAAAGAGATTGATTCATCATATCAACACTCACTGGTTGGTTTCCTGGACTTTGCTGAAGTCACTAATTACTTTCTCGTTGTCCTGAATGAAATAGGAAACTTAGAAATTAAACGGAAAAGATCACCACAGGCACAAAACGAAATAAGAAAAAGAGAAAATTTAACAATCAAAATCAGAAGAAGGGATTTGGGGTCGGACCTGATCAGCCTTTGTGCCGCAATCGTCTAGCTTTTCTGGTTTAATGCGGCGGCCGAACATCATCCGGCCATCATCCATTTCAAGAGGAGCCCATACTCTAAAATGGATTTGCATATAATAATAAAATAAAAGTTTGAAACTTTTTGCTTGGGGTATTGAATTGAATAACAATGAATTGATAATCAGAAAGTGAAAACAAACTTGCTGGAAAAAAGCATGCCAAAGGCGAAACTGAGAACGGAGAAGACGAAGATCCATTTGGGGGAAACTCTGCCGCTTCTGCTGCTTCGGGTCTTCATATTTTATTCGAATTATTTCTGAATTCGGAGGCAGAGCGCGGGAGATTCTTCCTCTCAGCACATTTATTATTTCTTCATCATAAAAACTGGTCTGAGATTTGTAAGCTCTGAGGGAGAAACATATGTGTGATTGAATAGAAAGGATTGAATAGGAAAGCATATTTATGAAGGAGAGAAGTTTGTTTCAATTCCCGTCTTCCAAATCTTCCAACTTTCAACCCCTCCATTACGGCCGGTCAGATGGTGATGACACCTTTTATTTTCCCAGCTTGATTTTATGTTCTCAGCCGTTCTCAAAAAAATAAAGGTAAGTGCAATTTTTTTCCATCTATGCCCGACGTGTATTTATCACTTCTTCCCCTTCCCAACTTTCTTTATTTAATTATTATCCCAAAACAAATTAAAAATATGACATTTTTTCTTTTTAATACTATCTTTGTTTTAAAAGGATAAAGTAGTTTTTACACTTCTAAGTTCTAACCATAATACTAATTAAAAAGGCGGCCTCTCCGGTTTTGTTCTTCCGTTTTCGTCGTTGACGAGGAGCTACCGTCGGTAGATTTTGGTAGTGCTAGTAGGCTCGTGAACAGGGATGTAGCGCTTTGACGGCCGTGGCTTGTCTTCTGTTGTTGTTTCTGGTCGAGGGGCGAGAGTACACAAAGAAAAGACGGATAAGTTGTGGCGGAGCTTGGGTTCGATTCAGCAACAAGGGATATCAATAGAGGATATCGTCAATCAATACAAAAGCATGACTATTGAGGCAGACGAACGGCAGGCTCGTCCCCCTCCCGAGCCGCCACCATGGAGTGCAAGAGAGTCTAGGGTTTGGAAGAAGATGAATGAATTATGGTTTAATTCCGTTTTATTTTGTTTTTGTTTTTCTTTCGAATTACATGTTGTTTTGGATGCGTTCTTATTTCCTAGTAGAGAGTTTCTAGAGTTTAGGTCAGGTGATGAGAAGTCCGGTTTGACATTCATTGGCTCAGTACTCATTACTGGATTAGCGAATGTTATTGCTTCTACAGAGGTGATGGATTCTAAGTTTGGTTCTAGGGCGGACGGCAGACAAAAGGCTTTTGTGATTTAATATTTTTGTTAGTTTAACGATAAAAAAATATTATCTTTGTTTTATTTTATGTGTCTTATTTTGATTTATAACAATTATGATGTTTGTATTTGGACTGAATTTGCTGGTTTGACCTCATTTGTTTAAGTCTGGTATGAACTGATCTGGTCTGAACTAGATTGGTATGGTCTGGTAAATGTCGGGTCTTTGTGTATTTTATAACTATAGAAGTCTTGTCTGGTCTGGTATATTTAAGTTTGGTCTGATCTGATATGTTTAAGTTTGGTCTGGTCTGAGACTGAAAACAATCCAAGTAAAAACATTCTTATTAATAAAGAGGTTGCAAAAATTAAAGTTATGATTGAGATTGAATATAATAAAGTGAAACAACGTGAGTCACATTTTTTTTTGAAAGGATCACATATTTTTTTTAGAAAAACAAAATGTGATTTTATTTTGAGAAAACCTAAAATGAAAAATAAAAAAAGGTAAAATGACATAAAGAGCGCATCATTTTATATGACTGTCAAATTCGATCAAAGTTTTATGAGTTATGGAATATTATGTGATAGTACCTGTCAATGCAACAAAATAATGTTGGGAAAACTTACTAGAGTTAACTAATTGCATTTATCTGTATTTACCCCGAAGTTTAATATATAACTCTAATTCATAACTCTAATAAACTATTTTAATTGTTCAAAAATTTTAATGCTACAAACTTTAAAGTTAACTGATTGTATTTATTTGAAAATTAATTTGAACAATTAAATTTATACATTTCCAAAGTCTGATTCTAACTTTTATCTAATTCCAAGTGCAATAAAAATTTGATACACAAGATGAGAAGAATGAAAGAATAGAATAGAATTGAGTTCCTTATGTGAACGCTAATGAAGACAAACGAAGTACCAGCGTAATCAATTATAGATCTTTCTTAAAATTCTCAAGTTTTTTACATTCTTTTTAGGGAAATTTTTTACATTTGAAAATAAGTATTTTGTATACCCAAACTTTATGTGAACTCATAACTTAAGTATGATTATATGAAAGCTGGTACTCAATTCTCAAATAAAAAAATAAAAAAATTGTATTGACAAAAAAAGTAATTGCCGGAAAAGACATACCTCCCGGCTCCCCCTTCTGTTTTCGTTTTTCGTTTTTCGTTTTTCGAAATGCTAGCACTTTTTATTTTTAGTCAATTTTTACTTCTTACTATGTTATTCCGTTCTCACTTCTTTTACTCCGAGTGATTAGTCACTTTATTTCTAAAGAAATGTCCAAAACTAAATGTGCAAGTTTTTTTAGTTTTTGGTTTTTTTTGGTTTTTTCGTCTTTAAAGTTTAAACTGAGAATTGAAGAGGAACAAGATTCCTTACAAAACTAAAAAGTTTCTCTATTGTTTTTTTAAAGTATTTCCTTTCACCTTTAATACCTTCTTTTTCCGCCTTTAATTACTCCGTTTATGATAGCATTCCTTCTACTAAAGTTAACATTTAACAACTCATTTCACCTTTAATTTTTCTAATTATCTATCATATTCTATAGAAAGAGAAATGAGTCTTCAAAAAAAATATAATGGAAATGTTGAGATGGAAGACTCTTAGTAAAGATATATACGAGCTAAAGTTGAATAGAAACATATTTGACCAACAAAAACACCATGAGCTACTCGTATACTAGTTAATAGGAGTACAATTGTGTTTAGTTCGTTCATGCTATATTGGATTAATAGACAAATAAGAACATCTCCAATGGGTTTGAAGTTCTATCACAATAAAATGGACACATCATTTATGTGAAAAGGATGTGAACGGAAGACAAAATATATCGTATAACCGGCTATACCGTGCACACTGTGTAGCCGAGTATTAAATTTATGTTAAAAGAAATGAGTATTAAGTTCAAAAAATGAGTATTGATATTAAATTATAAAACTAATTAACACAACACATATTTTAATAATACAATGATTTTATAGTTAAATGAATCAGTTGATTTGTAGCATATATATTTCGTGTAGATCATGATGCTCAATTGCATGTTTAATTTATAATAGGGAAAACTGTCAAATAGGTCCTCGAACTTTCACAAAAAAGTCAATTAAGTCCTTATTTAGGAAGCTCTGTCCGGCCGTCACGATTTGGGGCGGTTCCTGGTGGAATTTTTTGATGAAATTTTTTGAGCATCTTAATCATCAAGTCTAGTTTACTCATACCAAATTTGAGCTAAAACTTCAATCAGGAACGCATTCAAATTAATTCTTGAAGATAACTGCTCAATTACTTGCACAATTGACTTCAAGAATTAATTTGAATGCGTTCCCGATTGAAGTTTTAGCTGAAATTTGGTATGAGTAAACTAGACATGATGAATAAGATGCTCAAAAAATTTCATCAAAAAATTTCACCGGGAGCCGTCCTAAATCGCGAAGTCCGGAAAGAGTCTCCTAAATAAGGACTTCATTTACTTTTTTATGAAAGTTTGAGGACCTATTTGACAGTTTTCCCTCTATAATACTCAATTGTGCTACCAATACAGTTATTGAATACCGATGTTCATTTCTTTTAAACATTAAGGAGATGTTTACTTTGCTGCTAAAGTCACAGTTAGGTTGGTAAGACAGGTGAAGTAAACATGCACGCTGCTTAAAAAGCCGCTTACTAAGCATATTATCCCCCCATGTATTAAATTCTCTGTTAGTTTATTCGCGTATAATTTGCGTATAATACACTCAAACGTATATTTCGCGTATAATACTCCCGTTTATGAATTTTTCAAAAAATTCGGAAAAACTCGCGTACTTTAAGAATAAAATGTATAATACACGTACCGTACGTATTGATACGTATTTTATTCCCGTATAATACTCTTGTTTATGAATTTTTCAGAAAATTCTGGAAACCTCACGTACTTTAAGCATAAAATGTATAATACACGTACTGTATGTATTGATACATATTTTATTCAAAAACACACACCATTAAACGGAAGCCTAATGTAGTGATACAACTGAAACGAAATGTTTAGCTGCTCAATATTATTTATATTGCTTAAAAAAATTATGCCTTATATGTTCGTTAATTGTTTCATAGTCATTACATTTAACAAATTAGCTTCTTAAATTCGTAATCCTTTTCAATACTACTATTGTACTACTAATGTTCTCCACACATACCAAGACTCCAAAGAGATCGTAAAATGTTGTGGCGGCTCACGAAACTCACGGTCACAGTAATATCAACTATTCTCTAATAATATCTCTCTACTTCTACTCAAATAGGCAATGCCATTTTTATTACTTATTGTACTTATGTGTTCAAATCCATATATATGAAAAAATTATTCCGTACATTTTAAATTGTTGAAGAATGTGGTTCAAATGCTAAATAACTTTTTATTTCTATCATTAAATTAGTATATAAGACACATATTATATGCTGTATTTTTAAATTGTGAAACGTTTAAAACGTGTCCGTATCTTTATATATTTCACGAACGTATGAAACATATATTAAATCGTATTTTATATAATTGTGTCGTATTATACACGAACGTACATATTATTGTATTATTCACGAACCGTATATCTATTTATATATAAGAAAAGAAATAGCTCATTAAATGACAATTTTATCCTCAAAAAAGTTTATGTGTTCTTTTCTCCACAATTCACTCCCTTACTCTACATATGACACGTGGCAAGTTCAAGGACATTACGGAACATTCAAACGGCAAAGGAAGCTCACCATTTTGTATGACTCCGTATAAAACGTGGCATCAATATATGTGGGCCCCAATTAATAAAAAAACATCATTTTTCTTTAATGTGTTATAACTTTTTCATTTTTTCTCTAATCTTTATGAAAAATATATCAAAATTCATAATTGTTTATGATCTTTCATATGACATCAATATTATATATATAAAATCTATTCTTCTATTTTATTTATATATAAGAAAGGAGATAGCTCCTTAAAATACTATTTTACCCCTAAAATATGCCACGTGTTTGCCTTCCCATGTTTCACTCCATTGCTCTATGTATGCCACGTGGCTTGCTATTTTTTGAAGTGAAATGAATTCACAACGTACCGTAGAGCAAAAATTCGGCAGCAATAATGTATTTACTTTTACCGTTTTTTCTTAATAAATCATACCCCACACTACGATTTCATGAGTCTCCGATGTGTGGTTTGCAATTATAAGAAATTCAGT